ATCAGTGATACACCCATCTCTGCTCACTCTGTACCCTAGAGTTCACAAGTTACCTAATGCTCAAATTCGTCAGCAGATTTTTCAAATCATGTTCCTTCCTTCCTGTCTCACTGGTAAGTGAAAGGCCAGAGGGCCAGGCACAGAATGAAAAAGGCCAGGTTGCCTTTGATGGATTATTTCACTGATGTGAGGATAGATTGGGAAAATGGGTCTCAGGGGTAATAGAATCATTTTACTTTGCTGTACTCTTAGCAAAAATCAACTACTACTTTTGATTTTTTTTTAAATAGCATAACTGAGGTTGGAGTTTTGGAATCAAAAGCTTCATCATCCCTCAGAGGTCACTGATATTTTGAATAGAGACTGTTACGGGTTACCATTCTAAAGAAGCATTCTATAAGCCCCCTATTGAAGGGCGAGCTGGATTTCAAGGCTTCCAGGACTCAAGGAGTACATTCTTTAATCTTAGATTCTATAAAAGTCTTCAAGCAAGGATTGGGGGACTACAGTCTTAAATTTACTTTATCCAGCTCTCAACAGGGATTCTAAGGTCATGTTCTTTTGGTTAAAAAATTGCAGCTGAAAAAAATTACTGTGTTACATATTATATCCTTACTATCCATACCCACCAGACATCTAAGTTTAAGTTGTGCAATTAAAAAAAAAATTATATAGACTGCATATGTATTAGAATGGCAAAAAAAAAAAAAAGGCACAAAAAGAAAGAAAAAGAAAAAATCCTATGCTGACAAGTATTTAGAGAAAGTGGAATTTTCATTCGTTGCTGGTAGAAATGCAGAATGGTATGGTCATTTTGGAAACCAGGTTGTCAATTTCCTTATAAAGTTAAACATCCACATACCTTATAAAAATAATCCCAGTGGTAGATATTAACTCAAGATAAATGAAAACTTACGTTTATACAAAAACCCTAACGCACATGTTTATAGCAGCTTTACTGACACTTGGCAAAAATTGGAAACAAGCCAAATATCTTTCAACCGAATTGATAAACAAATTCTAGTACATCTGTCCAGTGGACACTATTAACCAATAAGGAAAGAACTACCAATACATTTAACATGAGGAATCTTAAGCCAATTATACTAAATGAAAGAAGATTCAAAAGACTCTATATTTCATAATTTCATTTATACTACAACATGAAAAATGCAAAACTCTAAAAAAAGAAAATAGATCAATGGAGGCAGGTCAAAGGCTGAGCTTGGGGGATGGAACTAACGATAAAAATGCATGAGGGAATTTTGGGAAATGATGTGACTGCTCTGTCTTAATTGTCTGGCGGTTCTACAACTTTATGCTTGTCAGAACTGATAGAACTGGGGATGCTGGGTGGCTCAGTTGGTTAAGCATCTGACTCCTGATTTCGGCTCACATCATAATTTTATAGTTTGTGGGTTCGAGCCCTGTGTCAGGCTCTGTGCTGACAGCATGCAGTCGGCTTGGGATTCTCTCTCCCTCTCCCTCTGCCTCTCCCCTGCTCTCCCCTTCTCAAAATAAATAAACAAATAAACATTTGAGAGAAAAGAACTCACCGAACTGTACACTATAGTGACTATATACTCTATGTAGATTATACTAATAAACCTGACTTCTAAACAAAGTCAATAAATGTGTACGTAAACAACCATCCTTTCACTTCAAAAAAAAAATCAGCGAGCATTTACAACGTGTACCAAAGATCGGTAAGATTCTAAAACATTCCTTAGAGTTTCTCCATTTAGCCACTTAAATTGTATCTTATCTGTACATTAATCAGCCTAAAATCTTCCAATGGCTTTTCATTGTAATGAAAACAAAATCTGAATTCCTAGTATGGGCTAGTACAAACAGGCAAACACCTATCTCTCTAGTAATTTTCTCCTACCCTCTAAACCAGCCAGCTGGCCTTCTGTCACATGATTCTGTTATTCTCACCTCCATCTTGGGCCATTAAACTTATAATTCCCTCTACCTGCAATGTTCATTTCCAGAAGTTTCCCTAAGGCTACCTCTTTCTCAGTATCGGTCTCACTCAACTTTCCCATCTTCAGAGAGGCCTGTAGTAGCTAAAGTAGCAACCACCATCTCCAACCTAATTACTCTCTATTCTTGGCCTGTAATTTACTTTTTTTCTCCATCACGCTTATCACCATCTAAAGTAGTGATTGCTAAAAATTTATTTAGGTATGTTAGAGACTGAATGTCTGCGTCCCTCCAAAATGCATATGTTGAAGTTCTAAATTTCAGTGTGTCTATATTTGGAGATGGAACCACTTTGGAAGAAAGTAAGGTTAAATGGGGTCAACAGCGTGGGGCCCTGATCCAATAGGATTAGTGTCCTTATATGAAGAGACACCAAAAAACTTGCTCTCTCTCTCTCTCCACAAGCGTGCATGGAGGAAAGGCCAGGTGAGGACACAGTGAGAAGGCAGCCATCTACAAGCCAGGAAGAAAGTCTTCACCAGAAATCTAATCAGCCAGACCTTGATCTTAGACTTCTAGCCTCCAGAACCGTAAGAAACTTATTTTTTGTGGTTTAATGTCACCTAAACGATGGTATTTTGTGATGGTAGTGGAGCTAAGACAAGGTACTTATTGACTCTTTGTCCCTCTAGGATGTCAGCTTCGACAAAGTTGAGGACATACTGGCTTTGTTGCCTAGAAGAGAGCCTGGGGCATAAGAGATACTTAAGAACCATAGGTTAGGGTGCCTGGGTGGCTCAGGCGGTTAAACCTCCGACTTCAGCTCAGGTCATGATCTCATGGTTTGTGAGTTCGAGCCCTGTGTCAGGCTCTGTGCTGACAGCTTCGAATTCTGTGTCTCCTTCTCTCTCTGCCCCTCCCCTGCTCAGGTGCTGTTTGTCTCTCAAAAAAATAAATAAATAAACATTGAAAAAAAAATTTAAAAAAAGAACCATAGCTGGAATGAATGGATGAATGAATGAATGAATGAATGAATACAGAGAAGCTTAGGGAAGTAAGTAGTGATTACAGTACCGGCCAATACCAATACTTGGCCAATACCAAGATGGCAGGAGCATAGAAGATAGGTCCCTGAAACCATAGGAAGCTGAGGGGTGAGAGCCCAAAGAGCAGCCAACATCACATATTAGTAAATGCTCAGTGGAGGCTTAATCAATACTTGCTTTCTAAGCATGGATAGTATTAGTAACTAGGGAAAACAAGTCCTTTTTCACAAAAATCATGAATTGATTTAAAAATCCCCTTTAGGTCTTATCCTTGACACATTTGATTTATGAGGAAGTGAACCAAAGGACCTATTCTTTATTCGGGGCTCATGATGACCTCACTCCACCCATGACTACTCCATGATCGCTCTACAAACATTTGTTTCTCATTCACCATGCAGTGGTTTA